AAGAGAAAAGTGTCCTACAAGTGTTTGCTTTTAGGTTTAATGTTCTGATCTGTTTGGCATCAAAATCACCTCATTTACCACCAGATAATAATATAAGACTAATAAATGTCATATGTCTGAAATTGGGAAACAGATGGGGGGCCTGGTGGGGGTGCAGTGCAGTCTAGTAAAGGCTCTCGATCTCTCAGGTGTTCTGGAACTCCAAAGGTGAGAATGCAAAAGGCAATCTACATTTTCTAGACTAATCTAAGTTTAAATTTAAACCAGATGCAAAATAAAATCAGGGTAAAGCTTTTGATAGGTAATTGGCATGTGTAAAGTTTCTGAAAGAAGAACTCAATGTAGCCAGTTAGAATCTTAATTGATTTCTCACCTGTACTATAAATACAGTACAATTATATGAAAGACAGCATTTTCATTGGGCGTAAATGTGATGTGTTTTTTACACGATATATACCAGATAACACAACAAAGCTGAATTCTGATATATGAAAACATTCTCCTCTAGTGGATGTTAGCATGATCTATAGACTTTTCTATTAAAAAAGTCTATTGAAAACAACATTTCTGCTGCATCCAGATGGACATTTTCAGCTTCAAGTATTTCCTATGTAAATTACGTGGTATATCCACCTAACAAGACAATTAGTATCCATACAAAGCCACCACTTATCACAAAAATGCACAGCCACTATTAAAGAGTACAAAAAATAATTACCCCCACAGTCTACTCATTCTCTATATAATTATGGTAGCACATATTCACTGGTGGTATCAGAAGACACAGGTATGCATGGAGATCTTCTATTAACCCCACTGCTATTTATGTGTTGTCAGGGTAGCATGATGTCAGTGGCTCCTTAAAAAGGAACTTCACTCTCCTCTTTAGTTTCGTTTTCCCCCCTTCTTACCTTGATGGCTGGGTTGTCCTCCAAAAATATACTTGAACACACCCAGCAAATGCAACCTTGTCTGGTGTAAGCTGTTGCTCTGCCACAGCATGTTGGGTCCCTTACGGCCATCTTCTCTTCTGACATCATCAAGAAGTCGGATTTTTCTTTTGACTTCTTTGAGCCAGCCCCTTGATAACACATGATGACACATGCGCAGTGTGGCAGAGATTGCTTGGCACCTACACAGTGTTTCAGAGATTGACCCAAAGCGTCCTGAGATGCGTGATATCTGTACCCCAGGAGGCTTTGGGTAGGAAAGGGGATGTCATTGTCATCTAAGCCTTGGCATTGCGGGGCTAATACAAGTTGTGTAAAGAGGAGGGGAAAATGAAAAGTCATTAAGAAGAGTGAAGGCCTTTTTTAAGAGGGTGCTAGTCAATCTTGTAAGACCATAGAGGGGACACATCAGTTGTCCAACACCTGGGAAAGACAAGATAATATGATCAGGGGGTGCCAAAATGGAGAAGCATAAAAGCTTTTTAAGACTTCTATCAGGATTACCTGAGGTTGTCAATTTGCCAAAAATGAAAATGGCAACACATCCTCAGAGCAGGAAGTAACAATTCTAATACAAGTAAAGTGTGAGATTTTGCAAAAGATGAAGAATGGCACTTAACCTTTGAGACCTAACTGATTATTTAATAACTTCTTTCTGGAGTTATAGTTCCTCGTTGAGAAAACAATATAAAATATACACCTTCAAGGATTTCAAGCATCCTTTTTATAATAAGTGTTTTACTGTGACAGAAAACTTTGGGAACTATAACAGTCAGAATACCTTCTACATAGTTGGCATCATAACCCTTCTCCACAGTCCTTGGACCACCCCTTATTCTTTCTTTTACCAGTTAAATTAGATATTCAGCCTGCAGACTATTTGTGGAACAGCTGTTACTTGTTACAGGATGGAGGTAATGACTACGGAGAATTAAGTGATTCTCCAATTAGTTGTTTGCATACCACCATGAGATAACTGGGGACTAATTGCCCTTGACAGTTTATTTGTGGGTTTAGGCCACAAATCACACTCAACAACCCCTGCTTGCAGACACAAATGCCTGATACTAACCTGTCTGAGTAAATGAACAAAACGCAAAACAATCTACATTTCTTGCTGCTGTCGGTTGCTAGTGTTGAAAAGTCTGTCAGACTTGAATCAAAATGTTTTATTCTGTCTGTATTTTAAAAAATAGAATAGAGTGGAAAACAAAATGAAAGTTGCCTTTCATTTGGACTTGAAATCAGAATGTGTGCTGTTATTGGAATACTATTAATCTGTAACTCTGTGTATTGTTCCCATGTCTACTAATAATGGCTAAACTTCAAACACTGGCAGGAGGGATGGCCAGCTAGACAAACACGTTATTGTTTCTGCCAATATCACAATAGGTGAACACAAGAACAAGAAACACATTCAGTACAAGCAGAAGACTAAGCTGTAGATTCTCTTGCAACAGGAGTCAATATGGCCCACTCAATAGGTATTCCTCCTGACTTCCAAGTGCTTCTTATACCCATGCCAGAAGAGTATATTCACCCCATTGGCTTCATACACAAAAAGTCAGCATAGCATCTCATACCTCCCAACTCCCATTCCTACTTGACAGTGTTTGGGCCAGGTGACTGGCAGCTCAGGTCCGGGCATTGTCATAGTGGTGCCCATTCCTGGAAGTCCCACTCTGCTACAGCAAATGCTCCAACAAAACAGGGAGGTGGTGGAGAAGCACCATGCTGGGGGAGGGGGGTGGTCTATTAGCACACACTTTCACTTTGGCAATGAATGGGTGGACAGTGTCCCTTTAAACTTTTGGCCCCACATGTTCCTTTGTATTCATCCTCTTTAGGAGCAAGGTCTAATAAGTATGTGATGCTATATATTCTGATAAAGTCCCTGATACATTTCAATTTTGCAATTTCTGACTATACCTGGAAATGATCATGACTTAAACAAAAAAGAATAATGCCTTTCAAGCAGTAGATCCAAACATTCTCTAGTTCGTTAATCATGTGTGTAGACATCTATAAGTGCATAGCATGACACTTGCTGCAGCTAATGTATTTGTTCTAAAGGTATAAAAACTGCTGCTTTTCAGTAAGACCTTTTAAATGATAAATGACAGAATACACCAAAGCATATTGCTTAAATAGAGCAAAAGGAAATATTTCCCAATCCTACTTATTCCTAACAAATAGTATTGTTGTTATATTTGTTCCCAAGACAAATTTCGGAAAAAAAAATATTGTGTTCTGCCAAACCTCTCTTCTATAACAGGGTTAACCAATTCATCACATCAACATCCCTGCTTCCCCTGGGACAGATGCACTGCAGTTTCTCAAAGGCTCTTCTTGAGAAATATGTCAGCTATGTGAATGATTAACATCTAATGAGTATATCACAGTTTGAGTTTGGGTGGAGCAATGCATTCTCTTTTAATAATAGATGTATGTAAACATTCTTTCATGGCTTATAGTACTGTGATTTCAGCTGATTTTCTGATTGAAAAAAAAAGTACTACTATCAAATCATAACATTAAGTACAAGTTGCTGAGTGAAGCTGTGACATTTTATTTTTATTATTTCAGGTGCTTATATAGCACTGTCAATTTACGCAGTGCTTTACATATATATTGTACATTCATATCAGTCCCGAGCCCTCAAGGGGCGTACAATCTAAGATCCATAACGTACATTCATACATACACATACTATATGTTATGTATAGGGGAACTGGTGAGTAATGAGATTCCCAGTGTGAGTAAGAAGTTATTAATGATACATTAGGCTTGCAGATGTTTGGGAATGAGGGATCCAAACAGATTAGAATTTGGGGCTGTTATGTGATACACCCTTCACATAGAACTGTATCTGCATGTCATCGGGTTTTTTTAGATCAAATAAATTGTTTTGTTGATTTCAATCAAAATGAACTGCTTTTTTTCAAATAGATAGTCTGTCATTACTTTAAAGGTACATTTTGGTCAAACATTAATATGAAGCCTTGAGATGCACACAGCAGCCTTTTTCATCATGTTTACCCCAAAGGAACCCTTGTAGTAATTTTCAGGTCTCAAGGAACCCCTGGTAAGATTAGTCCATTGGTGGCCATTGGGAGAAGGGCCCTTATATTGGTGGTGGTCAGTGGGAAGAATACTTTCTCTACAGTCGTGGCTGGAATGGCAACTTTAAAGTTATGCCTCTAGCTCTGCCAACTGGTGTTGGACCTGGAACTATGCAGGCACCATATCATGGAAGGTCAGTTAGCCACAGCCCAAGGAACCGCTGGTCACCCCTAGACCTAGGATTCCACAGAACCCTGGCTGAGAATGGCTGGCATACAGGGTTCATGATCTATCTGCTTAGTCCTTCAGATTTCAATACAGACTTTATTACATTGCACTATCAGATCTTACTCCTTTTTCTGTTATCACATGATTTGAAAACCCCTGCTTTAATGCAGTATATCTGCTCTTGATACATCCACTGAAGCTTCTTTATATCACATAGGACTTGTTCACATGGACAGCCAAGAGGGCAGTAAAAGTAGGTTGAGCCACAGTTTTACCTCCCCTGACCTCCCACCTAAACAAGGACATGCAACTGCCTAGGGCTGTATACATACCATGCTCCGAAGCCACAGCAAAAATTGACCACCCTCAACCTATTCAAGTTAATAGGGCCATAGCGCAACTGCCCTGCAACTTCATGCAATGAATGTAATAACAGCAATGTGGTTTGGCCTTTGGCCTTTTAACCACTTGCCTACCAAGCACTTTTACCCCTTTCCTGTCCAGGCCAATTTTCAGCTTTCAGTGCTGTTGCACTTTGAATGACAATTACTCAGTACCGAAACTAAATTTTTATACTTTTTTTGAGACCGATATAGCTTTCTTTTGGTGGTATTTTATCACCACTGGGTTTTGTATTTTTTGCTAAACAATATAAAAAAGACTGAAAATTTTGAAAAATAAAAGATTTTTCTTAGTCTCTGTTATAAAATTTTGTAAATAAGTAATTTTTCACTGATGTGTGCTAATGAAGCTGCAGTGATGGGCACTGATAGCCTGCACTGATGGGCACTGATAGGCAGCACTGGTGAGGAGGCACCGATGGGCATTGACAGGTATCACTGGTGGACATTGACTGGCATCACTGATGGTGACTGAAAGGCAGCACTCATATATGGCACTGATACTGACTGGCACTGATAGGTGGCACTGACTGGCACTGATAGGCGGAAACTGATTGGAACTGTTAGGCGGCACTGATAGACAGCACTGACTGGCACTGATAGGCAGCACTGACTAGCCCTGATAGGCGGCACTGATGGGTGCTGATGGGCGGCACTGAAAGGCAGCTCTAATGGGCACTGATATGTGGCATTGATGGGCACTGATATGTGGCATTGATGTGCACTGACAGGTGGCAATTATGGGCACTGAAAGGCAGCACTGATGATCAGGGCACTGATGATCAGTGTAGATGTCCCCTCTGAGGAATGCCGCATACTGGGTCTCCTCTCCTCACACGCTGTAAGCATGAGGAGAGGACTGCCCATAGCTGGCATTTCCTATTTACATGCGATCAGCTGTAATTGGACACAGCTGATCACATGACAGAGCCGATGTCATTGGCTCTATACTGTGATTGGTGATCCGCTGTGCAAGTGTACAATCCAAACGCACACGTTCCTGCATTAAAAATGGCTGTGTGTATAAGTGGGTGCTGCAGCGACCGTCAACTGGAAACGAAAAGAATCAGCAAAGGAGAATGTCACCAGCACACTGAGGATCACCAATATGGGTCCAAAGGTTTTCATGAACGATCACATAGTTACAGCAAGGCAACATGTCTGATGAAGGGGTCCTGCGAGACTCCCAAATGATGCCTTGCTGTAACTATGTGATCGTTCATTAAAACCTTTGGACCCATATTGGTGATCTTTGGTGTGCTGGTGACATTTTTCCTTGGTGATCCGCTGTGTCCCAGGGACACAGCACACCACTGATCTTGTTTTGGGAGGACTTCATATGATGTCCTCCCAGAACGAGAGAGCCACCGCCCACCCATCATTTCCCTATATGGCAGGTGGCAGGCGGTTACAGGTTAAAACAGGTAGTGAGGAGGCAACATGTCACCTCCCAGCCACTCATCAACTGCCCTTTGAAAAGCGATCCACACGCTATTCAGAGGGACAAAAAGGGCTGCACATCTGAACAAGCCCTAGCACACAGGAATCCAGTGTGAAAAAAAATGCCAGTCGTAAGAAGGTTGCCACAACCATCAATCAATTTCAAACCTTGAAATTCCACTTCTTTGGTATTTCAGTGCATTACATTAACCTCCCTGGCGGTATGATTATTTCAGATTTTTGGTGCTGAAAGCGGTCTTTCGCGGTACCATTTTTTTGCATGGAAATATGTATTTTTTTTATTGTAGGCTGTAATTTTTAGGAAAAACTCACTGAAATCTGTCCGAACAAGAGTCTAGTAAACATCCCGGGTATGATAAAATTTGAAACACAAAATCATAAATTATAATTTAATAAATAATCATAAAAATAATATAAAAATAATAAAAAATTTAATTCAATAATATAATCAAACCAAAAACACTGAAATGTGAAATAGAGCGCCAAGTTCGCACATTGCTGAGCTCAGTCGCAAAATCGTTTTCAGTTTCTGATGACGAATTTCCCCCACGAATCATTATCACTCAATTCTGTAAGTGGTTCTGATTTACTATCGCTGTTCTCTAGCTGATCTAAACCGCTTTTGACCTAAAGGGACACTTTTTGGACGCCATGGACATTTCTCAGTTTCCAGGCAGAAAGAACAGACAAAATGCAGGCAGGGCGCAGGACAAAGCACTAGGGACAATATGTATGTGAAATAGGTTGAAACAGCAATGTTTTACTGTGTAAAATGAAAAAAAAAAAAAATGACATTTTTTAAAATTTTTAAATTTCCCGCCGCCGGCGGCGCCCGTACGTCCCGGCGTCACAGGGACAGGACACAGAAGCCGGATGCCGGCATCGGCCGGAGGAGATGGCCGGGGACGCTGCAGGGGACACATCGTGGGAGCGCAGGGTAAGGTAAGTGAAGAACACATGCCGGAGCAGCGCCGCATGGTATTCCCGAGTGTAGCTCGGGGTTACCGCTTTTGGTACTGAAATGTTACCCCGAGCTACACTCGGGAATACCGCCAGGGAGGTTAAACTGCGACCTGTCTGCATGAACACATGTGAAGGCAATGCAATGAAATTGAAAGTAAAGATATAAAAAATAAATAGTTGGTAGTATTTTAACCCTTCCTGTCTATTCTTAGCCTCCTCCAGATCTCCATATTCCATTTTTTGTTGCTGCTATCATCTGACTTCCTGTTAAAAGGCGGCTACATTCGTTCTCCATGGTCCCTCTGTATGTAGGAACATAGCCACCCTCCTTTGCTTCCCCTGAGATGGACAATAGCCCAGGGGCAGACTGACCATTTGGAAACTCGGGCACTGCCCGAGGACCCAGGGTCAGTAGGGGGCCCCATGAGATGTCCCTGGTACCTTTTTCATAGGCTTCTTTGAGTTTGGGCAAGGACACAGGGGCCCCATGATCCCCTATTGCCCGGGGGACCCATGAGCTGTCAGTCCACCCCTGCAATGGCCTATGGACTATGAGATTTATAGTGTGCAGATAGTAGTGCACATGACCACAACTAAAGTGTACTGCTTTCTCGAAAGCAAAAAAAATGAGGTGGGGGGGAGGAGAAGTTCAGGAGCCCAGGGAGGACATTACAAAGAGGCAGAAAAGCCCAGTAAAAAACAATTTCATGAAAACTAGTATCAATGGCCCTTAATTAGAGAATGTGTATGGATTATTTTTTGGAAAATGATGATATTGCTTAGTGTTACTTTAATTTATGTTTTCGGGATGCGTAAGTGACTGGTATGTTACTGATACTTTTATGGTAAAAGTGTACTGCTTTAATCAGACCAGACACACTGCCAGTTCGTTATCCTTTTCCAAGTTCCACTTCTGGTAAGATTTAATTTCTCTTTCAGAAAGTGTAAACACAGCATGCATGATTGCACAACTCTTTGGACGCAAGTTCCAGTGAAAAGTACAATGCTGAAAAAAAGTGATGCTGCAAAATAAAAACATCTGAGCGTTTGCTTAGCAGAACACAGTTACAAAAATGCTTTATGTCTTTGTTTTGGTTGGACTTTGTGCTTTATTAGCAGGCATATTTCACCAAGCGCTGACAGCCACAGTACAAATAAAATCGACTGGTTTACAGTGTTTGGTTTTATCAGTCCTAACCCTATTCCCTAATAACAAATGGCAGAGTATAATTAACTTAGGAATCCCAATAAATTCTAATGTCTGCTTGCTGATTTACCTTCTGTTGTAAGAAGATGTGTTATGGCATTGCTTCCCACGGTACACTGAACATCACGCAGTTTTGGATGACCTCTCTTCTATTCTGCCTGAGATTTATAGGAGCAAATAGATAGTTTGGAAGAACTGGCCAACTCAGGCTAGCAGTTTAAGACCAGATCCTTGGCTGGGGATTTTTTGGCTCAAATTTCGGTTTACAGGCAAAGTGTTTTGGAGTAACAGGTGTGACAAGAGAAGGCTCATAAAAAGTATATTTACAAGGATCTAAAAAGTACCTCTTGAGGATACATGCAAGGCTGTAGTTCTATTTATGTGGTCACCAGAACAACTAAAATACTTTGAATCAAAACTCTGAAAATCGGTTTGTTGGGTGAAGTAACATTAAAGAGCAAATTTAGATTGATACTTTTGCTTGGCAACTTTTGAGTCATAGTTGGTCAGTAATAGCTGGTAATATTGAAATAAATGTATTAACCTCTTCCTGCCGGCCGTACGCAAATATGCGGCCTCTCTGCGGGTTGGCTTTAATGTCAAGAATCCACATATATGAGTCCCAAATGTAAACAATGCTGTGCTGAGAGCACATGCCCTGCGCACTCTAAGCACAGTTACTGGTAGGTAACGGAAAGCTCCCGATGTCTACTTGCAGTCGAGAGCTTTCTGATCATCTGACCACTGTGTCAGCCAAACACGGCGGTCACATAATCAAAAAGCCTGCCTCCACCTCCTGGCATTTAGAGCATCTTAAAGGGCCAGGAGGTGTCAATGGGAAGGGGTTAAATCAAAGAAAAAGTAAAAAGTCAAAAAGTAGTAATTAATTGGTCCTATTGATTACACCTGTCTAAAAAGCAATTGTAGAGGCATTTTATTCATCTATACAACACATCAGTGACATATTCTTCTATGCTTTACATAAAATAATGAACCATTTACATCAGTCTCTAACCCAAAGGAGCCAAACCATACACTTACGTAGGCAAGAGCCCACTATACTCTCCGGCCACTTTATTAGGTACACCTGTTCAATTACTTGGTAACACAAATTGCTAATCAGCAAATCACATGGCAGCAACTTAATGCATTTAGGCATCTAAACACGCTGAAGACGTCTTGATGAAGTTCAAACCAAGCATCAGAAGGGGGAAGAAAGGGGATATAAGTGACTTTGAACGTGGCATGGTTGTTAGTGCCAGATAGGCTGGTCTGAGTATTTAAAAAAACTGGTGATCTACTGGGATTTTCATGCACAACCATCTCTAGGGTTTACAGAGAATGGCCCGAAAAAGAGAAAATATCCAGTGAGTGGCAGTTGTGTGGGCGAAAATGCCTTGTTGATGTCAGAGGTCAAAAGAAAATGGGCCAACTGGTTCGAGATGATAGAAAGAAAACTGTAACTCATGTCACTATGGACCAAAATCTCTGAGGAATGTTTCCAACAGCTTGTTGAATCTAAGCTGCGAATAATTAAGGCAGTTCTGAAGGCAAAAGGGAGTCCAACCCAGTACTAGCATATGTACCTAATACAGTGGTAGGTGAGTGTAACATTCCAGTATGTAATTGGATTGAGGAGTGAAATGCATATATAGTGGAATGCAGGAGCTCTGATGCAGGACCACAGTGCTAACCAGTAGGCTACCAGGGCAATTTCATTTTATTACAACCCAGGGCACAATGGTGTACCCATATGTCATGGTGTCAAAGACTTGATTTTTGATTATCTGTCTCCCTGTATTTGGCC